CTGGAAAGATAATTTGCCGTATACTCCAGTAGTATATTTTCAACCAGTGCTATTCTATAGTGCACTAGGTCATGTAGGATGCAAAGGAACTATTGGAAACATGCAACCCAACAATATTACATTGTTGCAATTAACAGAACTACATAAGTAAGGTAGAATAAATTCTTTTAATTTTTACATTAGCTACAGACCTCTTGAATTAGTGGAAGCCACAAATGCAAGGTAAGAATTGTAATTATCATAGTATTTAATTCTGAACATAACAGTTCAAAAGATACTACCAGTACTATGATAACTGATACAGGAAAGTAAGCAATCATGAATTTCGAACTATATTCACTGTTATTAGTGTTTTGTCCTTGCAGCCAGTATTTGTAGATGAGAGACATGATGATGCTAATAAATTTGATGGTCGTTTTACTTTTACTTCAGCTGATAAAGATTTACAACTGGTACTTGGTACTTTCTTCATAACAGTTCTTATTATCACAGTTTATACATTTTAAATTAGTATTTCAATAGTGTTTATCAAAGAGAACAATCAGGTGATGCAGCATTACAAAATGTTGAAGATCCTAAGTAAATTTTTTATTATGTATAGTCAGTCATCATATCATTTGCTCTTCTAGAGATGAAGTAGTGACTATCTTTCAAAATAAGTTGTTATCCCAGGATGCTGATGGTAGTTATGATAATAGTGATGATAGAGATGCTCTTGCAATAGCACCAAATAAGGACATTTCTGATTCACAGGAAAACAGGTGCAGTTGCTTTTACAGTAAACCAAATTATCATTCGTAATTATTAAAACAATATAGTGCTAATGACAACTTATCGGTTAGTGACAGGGTGACTCCTACTCCTACTTTAAGTGATCATGATAGCTCAGGTGATAAAATTATTGTGGTTGTGTATTGAATGATAGAATACTATTGTTGAACAGATGGTGATGTTATTCCTTTATCAAAACTTAATAAAGAAGAACTAGCAGACAACAAGTAAGACACTTGTTGAATAGTAAACATGACTCACATGACTTTAGTCCACTTCTGCTTGAAGTCAACAGATTATGTCGTAACATTAATATTGGGGACATTACTCATGAAAGTGTTATTTTAAGTTTTAATGAATACTTTGTTGAGTTCAATAGACAATTTAAGCAGCTTGTATGCTCCCAGAACCCAGTGCAGTCAGTGATATGTTTAGTTGTACAGGTATGGGTGTATTGTTTATGATAATTACATGTATATTAAATCAATATTAAAATAGACAGCTTATAAATTGTGTGTGGATTACATACTAGAAGGACCAGTAATGAAAACATTCAACGATTCTCCTCATAGCACTATTAATCAATTGCCAAAAGCAGTTGAAGATATTCTATTAAGCAGAAATGTAATAAATTATTTGTTTTGTGTCATTGATTATTGTTTGTGGCTATTTAGAAACTTGAAGCTATATTCAAACCTTGCTTAATTAATAATGATGATCACTGGGAACTATTAAAGACCAGTTATAGTTACCTGTTGTGTATATCAAAAGCAAGATCACTCCGCCCCTTCATTGAAATTCAGAATCAGGTACTTAACATCATTCATTGTAACTATATGTTAATATTATTATCACTAGACATTAGCTATTGTTTCTGATCAGATAGAAGAACCAATACAAAAGCTAATAGAACAAGCTGTTCATGTCACATGGGATATGGTTACATTAGTGCCACCTGCTATTCTTGCTCAACCACCAGACATTAATGAAGAATGGCATGAGATACGAACCACTTACTGGAATGACAGCACTCATAATCCTTTGATCTATTTTAAACCAGTATTATTTTACAGTGCATTAGGACAAGTAGCATGTAAAGGAGAAGTAGGTAATGTTTTACGAAGTAATGCAGTTGTGTTGCATCATCAAGAACCTGAGACAAGAAGGTATTATATTGCATCACTTGGCAATTCAACTGTATATTTTATTTCATTTAGTCAGCAAAGTAGCGAAAACATATCACATGAGGCATATCCTGTACCAGATTTGAGCATTATGCTTAATGAAGCTGATGATGAAATGTCAGTGGATTATATGTAACCTACTATACTTGATATTGTGTGCATAGATCTAATCAGGTCGAAAAAAATGAGTTACAGCTAAAAGTCTTCCATAGTGTATCAATTAAGACAAGTCCTCCAGCAAAGTAAGTACCAGTATTATTTTTGTGTTTATTTTACTTAATTGACCCACCAATTTGATGTTAAAAAACCTTTTCTTTTTCAGTTTTACTGCCTTTAAAACTTTATGCTTATAATAATAATAATAATGATAATAATAATAATAATAATAATAATAATAATGTTTATGTATTATCTTTCATAATGATGGGTATTTGCATACAGTCTAAACATAAGGCTAGCTACCTTTGATCTATATTTTAGATTATTTTTATTACTATGTCTTGTGTTTACTCAGGATTTCATATGCTCCGGAATATGAAGTTGCTTGGAGATCTTGTTCAAACTGTGGGGCAAATGCCATGATCAGTGATAGATCAACTTGTGAACATTGTAATAATGTGAGATTATTATTATTGTTCCACTTATTTATGATTATTATAGTCTGCACCAGACTATTTGGCATGGTCAATATTAACACTCTTGTGCTGCTTCTGGCCTTTTAGTATTCTTGCCTTAGTTTACTCCATGGAGGTATGTCAATAATAACTTTTGTCTTTATAATGCTTTTCTTAGACAAGGCATCATAACGCTAGCAGCAATTATAAAAGAGCTTCTAAATCATCAAAAATGGCAATGATATATAATTATTTTTCTTTTTTCACTGGAATTTTATTGATAATAATCCTTACAATGTCTGTGGCAGCCTTTCTAGTATATTGTGCTTTGTATTAATGGATTATAATAATAATTTCATTATAGTTTTTGTATTTTTATAATAGTAGCATAATTAACTAGCATAGTAATGATTTCAAAGTTGCTATAGTATTAAATTAAGTTTGGGCTCACTGGCTCAGCTCACGTGACTATTAGAGGTGTGGCAAATTTGCGCCTCATGGTGCCTTCACTGCCTTGAAGTTGATGGATAGTAGCAACAAGCCCA